TGAAATGTGGGGCTGGAGCAATAGCACAGAGGGTAGGGCGTTTGCCTTGCGCGTGGCCAACCCAGGTTTGATTCCCAGCATCCCATATGGTCCCCCAAGCATCACCAGGGATAATTCCTGAGTGCGTGAGCCAGGAGTAACCCCTGTGCATCACCGGGTGTGATGCCAAAAAAACCCAAATAAATGTATAAATAAATGTATCTGAGAGTCAACACAGGCTTCTTCAGAGAGAGGAATGAACCAAAAGGAAAGAAGCTTACATATTCATAGCAGCAGCTAAGTACCCTGAGTTAGAAAGTGTTTTTTTGTTTGTTTGTTTTTGTGGGCAATAAGTGGGGGCCACACTTGGTGGTGCTCAAGATTAAACTAGAGTTGACTGAAGCAGCTGCATGCGGTCCAAGTGCCTCACCTTCCATAGTATCTTTCCAGATACTTTAGAAATTAAAATTTTTAAAAGAGTTAAAAGTTTTTGCAGTAACACTGGTTACATCATTAGGTTTTAGAAGTACAGTAGGTTAGGTTCACAACTCTTCAAATATAGGCCACCACATGCCTATCACCTGAGTACCACTGATCCTTCACTTCAGTCTATTGAACCCCTTTTATTTTCTGCTCCCCTTCTGATAAATTCAGTTCGGCGGTGTTCAAGGGTTTCTTTGGGTTTAGTTGTTTTTTCCTGTTCTGCTTTTTATATTCCACAAGTGAAATTTTATTTGTCTTTTACCATTAGCCTTATTAGCATAGTCTTCTTGTTATATCTATGTTGCTATAAAAGGCAAGATTTCATCTTTTTAACACACCATATCTTTACTCCCATGGCACTTTGTTTCCACATCTTGCTGTTGCTGTTGCAAAAAACAGGGGGGCAAAGAACATGTACTTTTTCAACGGACTTTTAGTTTTTTATTCTTTGGTTATTTAAGAGTGAAAGTGCCAGATGATAAAGTAGATTTTAAATTTTTTGAATTTACCATTTGCATTTTTTTTACCAAAATGCATTTGCATTTTTTAACCATTTTCCATACAAGCTGTACTAATAATGTGCAATATAGTATGAGAGTTCCTTAATCTCCACACTCTTAATGACACTTGTTTCTAGTCTTTTCATAGGTCATTCTCACAGAAGTTTGAGAGTGCATTTCTCCAATGAATGATTTTTTTATCACATGCCTTCTGACCAATCTGTATGTCTCCCTTTGGAGAAGTACCTCAGGGTGATTCTGCCTGAAAGTAATTATCGTGCCCCAACACATATTTTATTTATTTGTGTGTGTGTGCACGTGCACGTGCGCGTGCTGGGGGGGAGGGTGGGCGGGGGGGGGGGGAATGGGGGGGAGTGAGGGGCATACCTGGCAGTGCCTAGGACTTACTTCTGATATGGTCTGGGGTGCTGGGGATCAAACGAGGGCTGGCTGTGTGCAAGTTTTCTGAGATGCTGTACAATTCCTCTATATACTAAATATATGGTATTTAAAAAAAATTCTGTGCTATAAAAAATGAATGTCAAGCATACAAAATTTAACAAAGGTCTTCATTTTTTAAAGATACAAATGAACTTAATGACATCACAATTACTATATGGGTCTAGTGAATCTTTAAGTACATATATACACATATTTAAAATCACTTTATGAATAAAGTATATTAGTATAAATGTTATCAGAAGCTTTAACAAGAATATAAGCATGGTAAACAATTTTCACTTCATATTTTTTGCATTGCCAAAATGCAATACTTCATAAGCTTCGATGACATGACTTCATTGAAGGATGACAATTACTATAAAACATTTAATTTTTAGATTTTTAAGCACCATTTAGAAAGATCAGTCCAATGGGTGTTTCATTTCTACATCATTTATTTCCTTTCAATCTCCCCTTTTATACATAACTGTCTTTAGCATTTTTCAATTTAGGAAATATATCAAGTAAAACTTAATGGGTAAGCACCATTAAAGATGAAAGACTACAATCATATCATTTAATAGCAAAATTAATGGTGTATGTACTTCATGTAAAGTATTGTATAATGAAGCCCTTTCCTATTGAGTCGGTATGATAATATCATATTTCTTTGTTGTCCTTAGAAACACATGGTTCACTCATTTCTTCTTGAGTTTGAAAAGACTTTTGGAATAGCATTTGAAAAAGACGTATGCTTGAGATACCTCATATGATAAATTTAAACATCATTAGGATTGTGAATATTATCCTCTCTTTGCATTCAACTTCTGATTCAACAATTCTGAAAATTCCTGTTAATTTTCTTCTACTTGTGATAGTTGCCAAATGAAAACTTCTAAACTCTCAACTATATTCATTGAAATGTTAAAAAAAAAGACAAATGCCTCTTGAAAGGTAATATACTTTAGCAATGCTAGATAAAAAACTGAAGAATGATCTGAAGAATGAAGAAAAGTTCTTTATTACTTTATTAAATTATTCTAGGTGATTCTACCATTGTTCCATTTTCTTATTAATCTTTTTAAAGCATAGTTAAGAACTGATTAGTAATGAGTCAATGATTCATATCCTGTAATACTTATGGTTACTGAAAGATAAATTTAATTCCATTTTTAGAAAATGAACTTTGTCTCCTGAAGAATGCCTAAGAAAGATGGAAGATCATGAAATATCAATTCTTATAGTTCTAACAGTTCAAAAAAGGAAACCCAAAACTAAAATTTAGGCCAGTGGACCTTCATGTAATCATTAGACTTTAATCAACAGAAATTGCTTTCATGTAAAATGTTCTTAGAGAATTCATAAAGATGCGAATTAGGAGTCCCCACCCTTTCCTTGTTGGAAGCACCTTCAAATACAAAGGACTGGTTTTGTTCTTGGAGACCCTTCCACTCTAAGTACAGATAATTGGTGCAAGGGTGGAAAGCTAATCAAGTTGAGAATTTTAATTCTTTTCTCCTCTGATTCATAAGGAACAAAGACACTGGCGCCAAAGAGTTAAGTCAGAGCTAACAGCAACTCAGTCTCCAACATCTGGAATAAGCATCTCTTCAGACAACTCAAGCTACAAGGTGGAAATAGTCTCGCTGTAGTTGTTCTCTGGGCCCTTAATAGTTTTCTGCACTAGGTAGTCTGGTTAGACGCAAACAGAGGGTGGGGGATAGGGGGTGGGGGAAGCAGCAAATTATATTACCTTCCATAAAAGAAAATCTTTCCTGTCAAGATTGTTGAAGATCAGGTCCAGGTATTGCGGAAAGCAAGTCTAGTGATTGCAAGGAAGATATATAGCAAGAGCCAAAAGTTTGGAAAACTTAAAGCCCTCTTCCGAAAGATAGACATGCTGAGCTCCTTGACAACTTCCAGTCCCCAGTAAAACATTTTCCTAGACTGCAATGTAACCTGTGTGTGCTAGGGGTCGGGGAAGGAGTTTTGGAGACAGACTCTGTAAGAGCTTCCTGTCCCTTCAAGCCTCTTTTCAATCACTATTTCTCTTTCACTCTTTGAAGGCAGGGCCCTCAGTGGAACGGACACTTAGGTCAATTGGTTAAAGCAAGCACACCTTATCCAAAAATTCCCGGCATCACCATTTTAGTCAAGAATATATTTAGGAAAGACTATGATTCCAAGTACCACACCAAAGACTTTTTTTTGATCAAGTATCTACACCAACTCATACCAACATGATGTTAAGTTGTGGCCCCTTCTGTAGACTTTGACTCAAGGGAAAACAGGTCTGAAGGACAATAGATAAAGGAAATCCTAACATGGTAGGACTGTCAGACATCACTTAGAAACTTACATCACTGCCAAGAGAGCTAAGAAACACACTTAGCTTGAGAGATAAATCAGTGGCCTCTATATGATCCTGTTTCCTGGTTCTCCCCCACCTCCAATCAATCTCCTTTTCTAATTAATAACTTTTATTGCTGAGTTTTTCCAATCATTTTGCTAGTGTGAGCTAGTAAAACATGCCAATAAATTCAGAGGTGGTCATTCTGGCAGGGTAGTGATTAAGTGATTAGAAGACAATGTAGAAACAGGCATTTGTAGCATTATTGTAGTAATAACAATAGTACTACATCACATTAGGCAAGACACTCTGGAAGACTTCACACTGTAGAAAAAATATATAGTGGTAGTGCATTAGTGGAATCAATTTATTCCATATCCTTTTCTTGGTAATTCCAAAACCCTTGCCCTTGTTTTTACCAGTAACCCCATTTTTGTTATTTTTTTCTGGGGTACCAGATTCTCAATCCAGGATCTCATACATACCAAGCACATATTCTACTACTAAGTTAAATATCTGCCCAAGGAGTTATATTTTCAAGGCTTCCATAACGATTGTGCAAAGTTGCATGTTCACTGCATCCTACTATAAGAAGTCCTCACCCCGCCCTACCCCCAAATTCTGGACACAACTGAGTCAGATTTCATCTCTGAAGGAGGGACTTGAGTAAGAGAGACAATTAAACAGTGGTGAATGAGGTTCTACAAAGCTGCTTGGTCAGTTTGAGGGCTGTCATCTTTAAAGATATGACTAAGCCACAGCTACAGAGATGGGGTTAATGTGTCACCCCATGAGGCAAAGTAGAAATGAGCAGCCTTCAGAGTAGTTGGTCCACAGAACATAAAGCAGATGCACAGATGACTAGATAGAAAAGTATAAAAAAGAGTAAGAGACAGAAAGAGTAGAAGAGAGCAGGAGTACAGAAAACAAGGAGTCAAGTTGATGGAGACAGAACTAGACAGAAAAGATCCAAAGTGAGAAACAACTAGAGAGAAAAAATGATTACCTACTGGTAACTTTCTAGAGTACACAATGCTCAGCTGTATCTCATGCAATTAAATCACAGATTTCTGATTTTTTTTTTTTACCAACTCCATTTCAGAAAGCTTTTGCAGGTGGATTTTTGATTCTTGCAACCAACAATTCACATACTCCTTATCCATGGCCACATATGTCAATGTTTAATTTGGAACTATGGAAACAAGTGTACTCCCTAGTGTAACTGGGTCATCATAAAAAGGTGAGACTCTCAAGAGAAAGGAGTATAATTTGTAAAATCTTTACTATTTTCCCAAAACAGATGCATTCTATGTAACCATTACTAGTATTTACTGAGCACTAAATTTGGGTCATTATTTCAAACACTATGCAAGCATGATGGTAACTATTTTTTCACAATGATAGGTTCTACTATTGTGATTCTCATTTTACAAATAATGATATTAATTCCACAGAGAGAGCTCAAGTTCATTACTCAAGGTCACACAGCCAACAAAGAGACAAAGGCGGAATCTACTGTTATTGACATTTAAAAAAAAGTGTATGTGGTCATTTAAAATTTATTTCAGTTAAATTTCCACTGAATACTTATTATGTACAAGGTACTGACTTACACTAATAAACTAACACTGATACTACAGAGATCTTCTGAATTTCATTATTGAAAATGAGTATTTTTTTTTTCCTGGAGAAGGATGAACTTTTGAACTTTCACAAAAAAGACAAACTTTCATACCACATTTTTCAATTTCCAAAATACCTCCTTTAAAACAGAAGGGAATAAGTTTTAAAAATGCGGTTTTAAAAATGCATTAGTTCAAAATGCACTGGCATACATGAAGAGTACCGCTGAACTCACATGAAAATGACTCTTGACTTCAGAACAAAATGCCTACACGAGTAAAGATCTGCGCAGCCATTCACTGACCCGCACTACGTGTGCTACACACATAAGCAAAGAATGTGACAGGTGGAGTCGCTTCTCATGGAAGGTGGTGAGTTGCCATGGATTCTGTTTCTCTTGATTTTCTGAGCAGGGCTTGTTTGAGGGCACTAATTTTCTCATCAAGTTCAGCCAGTGAATAGTTCTGCTGTAAACAATAACAAAGACTGCTGACTAAGATTCTGAGCTCTCTTAAAACAGATGAAAGTGTTACATGAACTAGAAATATTTAAAAAACACAAAAGCATAGCACATGGTTTTTTCCCTTGCAAAAAGGTTAAATAAAAAAAAAACTGACCATTCTCACAAAACAATGGCCAAAGTGTTAAACCTAAGTCTTAGGATTATTTTAACTGCTTAAACTATCTCAAACTACATCACCAGATAGAAAGGGGATCCTCCAATTTTTCTAATTAAGAAATTAAGTAATATGAGGGCTGGGGAGATAGGTCAATGGACTAAAGTCATAACTTGTACACACTAGACCCTGAGTTCAATTCCTAGCACTGCATGAATCCTCAGGCCACCTCTAGGTGTAGCCCTGGTGTCCACTGAGCACAGCTGAGGACCCGAGTTCTGATCTGGGAGGCTTAAGAATAGGGCAGGGAACATCAGGTCTCCTGAGCCATTCACTCCACCTCCCCCAATATGCTCTTAGCAGCATTAGACACTAACAAGACCTAATCAGGAAAGATTCAACTAATACACCGACAGGCAGACAGTCAGATAGGAGGCCCCATGGCAATGGAAATGTCTAGTGAGAGAGTATAATCTGAAAGGGGTCCCCAGAAGCCAGCTCTGGATAGAGGCCAGACTCTGTTCGGGAGAGAGCAGAGAGCTAAAATTCTTCCTTGGAGATTTGCCAGCAATGACCCTTAGAAGAACCTGGGGCAGTCTGGAGATAAATGCCCTAAGAATCAGCTTCATAAAACTGCTTAGAGCATGTACTCTGGAGTGGGCCACACTCCTTCACTTTGGAGGTGCACTTTTCCCTTTATTTTATGACAAGCTAATTCTAGATTTGTTCACACATCCCAACTTGGGGTATAATAATTCCTCTTTTACTTCATGGGGCTCTCCTTTATATTTCCAAAACTATTTTACTTCTTAATCTTCACCAGAAATTCTTTGCTGCAACATAAAGACAAAAAGTCTGAAACTGGGCGGAAACTGGGACTTCAGATGCTGCTTTTTAGAGGTACTGCTAAAGAAAGGGTGAGTGAGACTTAAACTATGAGCCTTCATTATTTTTCTGTGACAAACACATCCTTCTACTATAAACAGGTGGATACAGATCTACATTCGTTTGACTCATCTAAGTCATTCCAATGCCCTTGAAACAAAATTATTTCTCTCATTCAAGTACATTCATTTTACAAAAACAGTCCTTTTAAAAAATTCGAACCTAAATTCCAGGTGGCAATTCTTACTTAATAACAAAGCAAAAACTAGTAAGAAAGTTATAAAACTGAATAAAGCTTTCAGAAGACAAAATGAAAATGCAGTAACTTACTTGGGGTGGCTGAACTTTTCTTCTTTTTCCAGAAAAGTTCTATATTAAAAGAAAAAATAAAGGTAATCAGTGCTTGAAAGTTCAAATAAATTTTCCTTCCAAGACAAAATATGCAAAAGAACTTTGGCAAAAACAAAAGCCCTCAAACTGACCAAGCACTTAGCTGTGGTCGACACCTGTCTTTGCATTTTGGATGTTATTTTCCAAAGATGATATTAAACGCATAGTTGTAAGATGGCAGCCAAACGCTCATTCCTGGCAATACATACCTTCCCATTAACTTCAAGCTTCTAAAGAGGCTTACTGATTGTGGAAAGTGGCTGTCAGGGGTTTCTGCTTAGTTTCCCTTTTAATAACCTTTTCATCCCAGGAAAGCTAGCAAGTGGAGCAGCATCAGACAGAGGAAAACAGAATTAGAATATAAGGCCAAGGGGTGAAACCACACATAGACACACAGTGAAATCACCGAGCCACAGCCTCTTTAATGTCCTAGCTTCTTCTTCTTTTTTTTTTTTTGCTTTTTGGTTCACACCCAGCGATGCAAAGGGATTACTCCTGGCTCATGCACTCAGGAAGTGCTCCTGGTGGTGTTCAGAGGGCAATATGGAATCCTGGGAATCGAACCCCGGTCAGCCACGTGCAAGGCAAACGCCCTACTCGCTATGCTATCGCTCCAGCCCCTGTCCTAGCTTCTAAACTGTGTGTTGTAACCCCATTAGGGGCTGTGTTATAGAATGAGGAAGTGGGGGGAAGGGTCATGAAAGATTGGCAATAATAAATGGCTTTCAAATGTGCAACAACCAAAAATTAATGTGAAATCAACCAGATAATCCAACCACTAGTGCGCACCATGTTGCGTTTCTCCAGCCAAAAGGGACCACAAAGAGACAAATTTGAAGAAGCTCTGCTTGATGAGCTGGGGGAATGTGGATGCTTTCCCAGTAGACCAAAAACTGGTTTTTAACCACTGATGCACAAACAGATGGAGAAAGATTAAAAAAAAAAAAGCCATTGCCCTAAACTATTTTTGTTAGTAACATTGTGTGTCTGATGCTAATCTCCAACCAGAATTCTAAATGCCATTAGACACAGATCTAAATTACAGGCTTTTTCTCAAAAAAATTGTGCTCTAATGACACTGGGATTGCAAACTGGCTAATGTGGCCTTCTCAGTCCTCCAATATGTGTTTGCAATTTAACTCTGCAGCCAGATCTAATCATTACCTCATGCTTCAGGTCCAGTAAGCACACAAGGCCTGTATACATGATGCTTAATCTCAGATGCTCTCTTCTTCTAATACTTCCCCTTTGACTCCTAATAGAGTTACTGTTACAGGTTAGAGTTAAGATTCTCCCCCATCAGTGGTTTGGGACAAAGTGAAGACGCCTTCAAAAAAATGCAGTATTTAGTTACCAGGTGATCCATCCATTCACACCATCTACTCAATTTCTACTAGTCTTTGTGTTCAATGATGAAACCGGCAGATGAGCCAAATCCTGTCCTCAGAGGTTAGAAATAAGTGGAAAACAGGCATATAAATATGCATGCCTTCCAAAATATCTCCCTTTGTATATTCTTATTTCTATCATATATGTCATCATTTTGTAACTAGAAACTGGAATCACCTGTACTTTATGACTTTCACATCCAATGATCAATACTTGTGAACTTTTCTTTCCTACACTGTCAGGTCCACAGATCAGAATTTCATTTCACATTCAAGTTACCATAACACTATCTCCTAGTCTTATTCTCTCTCATCAGTATTAATACATTGTCTAAATGTCCCTTTCCTGGTCACATTCATTTGCAAATGCTTCCAACAAACTCTCCTCTCTCTGGCCAGAAGACGACTTTAAACTTCTGGGCACAGTAATCAAAGCCTACTGCAATCTCACTCTGCCTGTCTTTATTCAAATACTCTACCCTGTGTACAAGTAATAAATGCCCCAGTCAAACTTATGTTTTGAAGGGCTTATCTTTTGTTTGGGCTAGAGCGATAGCACAGCGGGTAGGGTGTTTGCCTTGCATGTGGCTGACCTGAGTTCAATTCCTCCACCCTTTTCGGAGAGCTCGGAAGGCTACCGAGAGTATTTCACCCACATGGCAAAGCCTGGCAAGCTCCCTGTGACATATTCGATATTCCAAAAACAGTAACAACAAGTCTCACAATTTGTTGTGAGACTGGTGTCCACTTGAGCAAATCGATGAACAATGGGAGGACAGTGCCACAGTGCTACCTACATCTTTCGTTAACCAAGCTTAGCTGACAGATGTATCTTAAACTTTTACAAATCAGAATCAGAAAAGGTGATGAAGCAAGATCTCCCTGGAGGCATCTGATGCTCTTATCATAATAACACTATTATTTAATTACATTTAAAAAAAGTATAAAACTGAATGCTAAAAATAGCCTTTGGAGCCTGAGAGTAGTACAGCAGGTAAAGTGGTTGCCTTCTACACGGCCAACCTGGTTTCAATCCCCAGTACCCAATAAGGTTCCCCCCAAGCCCTGGCAGGAGTAATTCCTGAGTGCAGGAGGAACTCCTGAGCATCATCAGGTGTGGCCTTATGTCGCCCCACCCCCCCGGGCCCCCGCCCCTGAAAAAAAGAAAGAAAAGCCTTCTTAGAGATTAGTTAATGGAGATAACTTCAATACACAAAACTTACTATAGACTGTGAGGGAAAGACAAAATCTTTATGAAGTTTCTCAGGGGAATATATTCAAAGAACAATTCCAAATGTGGAATGACCTTGATTGCGCATTACAATTCACCAATGTTCTACACTTAGACACATTTACAGAGCTACTTTTCAGGAACTAATGTAAGTGCTATTATACTAAGACTTAATACCATGTTCTAGGCAATGTGATATTTGACATAAAATCTCATTAAATCATAGCTTCAATCTTTGGTGCTTTAATAAACTTCATTTTACGTTTAAGAGAAGCAAATCACTGAGACACTCTTTACTTTTTTTTCTGTTTGGTGGTCACACATGACAGTGCTCAGTGCTTACTCCTGGCTCTGTGCTAAGGACCATAAGTGGTACTGGGGGTTGAAACAGGGTAGACTGCAAGAAGCCTAATATCCAGCACCATTGAAACATTCTAAATTTTTTATATTTAAGACTTGCTGCACACAGTTGTGAAATGTGCCTTTTTAGTCTACAAATAACTTTTTCATTTTATTTTTTGAGGCTGGATATAGAAACCAGGGTCTCCCACAGTCAGGCATGTTTTTCTACTACTTAGCTACAACCCTTGCCCTGAACGTATTTCTTCTCTGTCCCTGACTCTAAACTCCAACATAAAACTCTAAAATGACTGCTTTATACTTAAATACATTTTCACCATTGATATACCGATCTATGCCAATATGTTACAATAACTTTTTGAAAATCAGAAGTTACTGTTAAAATGTCATCAGAAATTTAGTGAATTAAACTTTTTGTTCACTTTTACTTTATTTTTCTTCTTTCAAATATGGTTTGGCCCTAAAAAATAAAAAAAAAGAATAAAAGGAAAAATCACACCTCGGAAAAAGTAATAATCATCTCAGAAGACTGAAAAATGGCACAATGAACTCAAGATTACTGGTCTGAAACAAGCTCATGTGATAAAGATCCTTATCCTTATCAGCCACAACACTGTTTTCAAATGTTCTTGGGAAAAGGAGTAAGAATGAATAAAAGAGTAAGTTAATGATGCTAGAGTTGAAGAATTAGATAACTACAGACCAACCTTCCAAAAGGTCTGGGTGTTAAGGTAAAAACAAAGGTGGGTGCCTATTTGTTTAGCTGGAAGAGAGAAATGTAAACGTGCCTGAGCTGAGGAAAGGAGTCTGTGGAGAGTGAGGATTAAAGAGACAGAAGGGATAACTGACAGCGATGCCCAGAGGAAGCTTCTGTTTATTGCAAGATATTAAATTCAGAGTGAGAGGACTGACTGCTTTTCAAGCTGATCTATCTATCATGCCATGAAAATGGAGAAAGTTTGAGAATTTTGACAATTTACAATAAAAATATTCCTTAATGAAAACTGTAAGTCAGTAATATTCAGAATCAGAACTTTTAGAGAACTAGGCAACCCCTAGTATGAATGAACATACATACTAATATGTTCATTTATCTTTGAATTGTTTCAGATATAGATCAATGAGTAAAATATATTCATACAATATCCTAAAATAAAATTACTTAAATATTAAAGTTGGAACCAGAGGGATAGTGCAGAAGTGTAGACACTTGTTTTGCATTTGACATTCCAGTTCTATCCCTGGCACCACACATGACCACCACAAGTGATCCTGAAAGCAGAGCTATGAGTAAGCCTGTAAATAATTTTTTTTTTCAAAAAGAGTAATATACTTGGGTCAGGAGACAGATAAATGAGCTGGCACACATGCCTTGCATGTAGGAGGCCAGAGTACCATCTGTTTCCCACGTACCTGCAGGAATAACCTCTGAGCACTGAATCAAGAGCAGCCCTTTCTAGGTGTGGCTGGAAAATAAAATTACTTATATATGTATAAAGAGAGAGGGAGGTGGGGAGGGATACTGGGATCCGTGGTGGTAGGACATGGGCACTGGTGGAAGGATGGGTATTTGATCATTGTATAATTGAAACCCAAGCACAAAATTTTTAAGTCTACAACTGTACCTCATGGTGTCTTACTAATTAAAAAAAAAAAAGAGGGAGGGGGAAGAGAGAGGAAGAGAGAGAGAGAGAGAGAGAGAGAGAGAGAGAGAGAGTACTTACCACAGACTGGAAATATTCAGGAGAGATACCTTCCAATTCAAGGATTTTATCCTCAAGCTTTTTAATTCTCTGGTAAATGTCCCTTGGCACTGGACCACCTAAACACATTTAAAAAGTTCTGAGAAACTATAGAATTCTTTCTTCTTCAATCTTATCCTTAAAACATCATGCAAAACATTTAAGAAAAAGGAAAATAACTAGTTAAATTAAGAAGACAAATGAAAAAAAGTTCAACAATGAAATTCTTAGCTCTTTTCACATTATACACTATAAAATGTATAATGTGCCTCTCTCCAAGCCCCATTTTGTTTCCTATGTTGCTAGTTTTGCTTTATATGAATTCATTTTATAAGATCCTAAACATAAAGTTTCTATAAAGAACAAAGCACATTTCTAATCGACTTTGAGATGAAGTAAAATCCTTAACAACAACTGACAATAGTTACAATACATTCATTATTTCCTTCAATTTGTATATCTTACTGCAGGTCATATATTTTTTTCTTTTAACCTAGAAGAACGTTACAGAGGGGCTTTATCATAATTCTTACCAAGCTTTCTTGGCAGGGGGAATGTAATCAAAATTGCTCAGATTTCAAGGTTATAATCATATTCTAAATCCTTTCATTTGTCAGAACCTCCAATTGCAGCCTTTCTGCTCCAGACCAGCATCACCTCTCTGAATTATCAAAACCTCCAAAATGGCATTTTATAAACTCTATTCTCAACACAAGTCTTTTTTTTTTCCTTTCTGCTTTTTGGCCACTGCCAGTGCTACTCAGGAATTGTTGTTATAAACCCAGGTTCGACCAGCAGTCTTTTGAGCTCTCTCACCAGCCTGCCAATGAACATTTTAAAAAAGTTAAAATGTTTTACTTCTAGACCTAAAACTATCCAATCTCAGTCCTACATAGAAACAAACACATTTACAATAGCCAATAAATTCCTCCATTTGTTTCCTCCCAGTCACTTGATCACTTTCTTCTGTTATTCAACTAGGCCAACTACCTTTATAGCTTTCAAAGTTGTGCTTCCTTCCTTCTGCTTCCACATGCTCAAGGTCTGTTCTCACAAACCTAACAGCAGGGCTGAGTGATAGTACAGTGGGTAAGGTGCTTGCCCTGCACACTGACAATGCAGGTTCAACACCTGGCACCACATACGGTCCCCTGAGCCCCAGCAGAAGGGAGCATGAAGCAGGCCTAGGACCTGAGCACTGCCAGGGTTGCCCCAAAATTTTCAAAAACATTTCCTGTAAGGAAGGATTTCTGTCCTCTTAAAAATAAAACCAGCCAGCCTGACTGTCTCCTCTACCTGAAACTCCCATTTTTGTTCCCTATTTTTCTCCAAATAATCACACTACTGATCATTCTGCACTTTTTCATTACTGTTTCTTCCATCTAATTTAAGTTCCAAAGGGACAGCATTTGATGTTCAGTCCACTGGGTATGGCAGGGTGTCTCTTATAGAACTACAGCCACCTTGGGAACGTCAGTTCACAGACTACACAGGTGCATAGTATTTACTGACTGAATGAATACATGGTTAAACAATCATTATGCAATTAAAGAATATGGGCAAATTTTTATATCAAAAGCTTCAACTTGTTAAATATAAAATCCTCTAAAAAAGGTTAAAAGGCTTCTTGCTATTTTTTTTTCTTTTTTGAGAATGTATTTTTTAATCTTGGGATCTTGGTTATTCTTGCTCTTGATTAAGTTAAAACAGTAACTTCATCTGACTTTGCTCTTGTTGCGTCCTTTTCTGGAAATGCCCCCTCTTCCCTCTGTACCTTTCAACAGCCATCAATCACCACTGAATTGCTTTAGATAGAGCCCCATGTGCCTCTGTACTATTCCGCTTCCCTATTCATCTATACACTCTCAAACAGATTACAAAGATCTTGGAACCAGGGCCTATGATGACATCATCTTGGTATTCCTGGTGTCTAAAATAGTGCCTGGCAGGCTAAACAGTGTAACTCAGTGGCAGAGTGCATGCCTCACACAAATGAGGTCCTCGGTTCAATCTGCAGGATCCACACTCTAAAATAAAAGTGCTCGGCACACTGCAGACATTTACCAGGTATTTTTCAAAATTTAACTACAAATTAACTAGTTGGTACTAATACACTTAATAAACCATGTCTACACAATAACTACCCTAGGCCAGGGCAAATTCAGTAATGCTCCAAACCACAGTTGGTGCCTACATAATGTTTTGCAGATTCTATTCATTCTTTTTCCAAAATGGTTTGCTCATGCACACTAACAAATTCCTATTAACCATTCAATGGAGTTCATTGTTACTTCCTTAGAGATATGATCCCTGACTTTCCCTGAGTTGAACAATAAAAGTCTGTCCTCACTGTATTTTACAGATTCTCTGCAAAAGTGAAATAAACAATGGCTGATTCAGTAAACAATTGAAGATGTATCTGGCTTGTGACGGGGCACTGTGCTAGGTACAAAGTAATGAACACAACAGAAAGCTGCTCATAAAGCGCTTACTAATCCAACATGAGAGACACCTATTATTAAACTTCACAAAGAAGAGCAGTGAGCCTCAGGTGCTATGAGACTAAACCTATGAGGAACCTATACTACTGGAATTTATTTAGCATTGTAAACCAATGGAAAAATCAATATGAACTTAATTAAAATAATAGGGGGGAAAAACATAGAATCCATATGAATCTAGGATTGGGAAGGAAAAGCAAAATAGCATGGACACAGAAAGGCCCAGAGTGTAGCAGAATGATTGGAAAGTCCAGAGACGTGGCTGGAATGACATTTACAATAAAGCAGCATTATCACAACACCTTTCCAGGCCAATCTTCTTTCCCTTCTCTGAGTCAAGTTGTTTTTAATCTGGAGCCCTTCTCTTAGTGCAGCAAATAATTCCTGGAATAGTTTTGTTCCTATGTAATCTCAGTGCCTTTAAGTTGCTCGCTTATAGTAGGTATTTAATTCTTAAGAAATGAATAGGTAAGTACAAGGTTTGGTGTGAATATAAGGGCAACAGAAAACCATTAAAGGATTTTTAGCTGAGGATTTTTTAGCGAGATTAAAATCAGATCTGATGTTCTGAGAAGGTGATTTGACCACTGGGAATAGAATGGTCTAGAGCAGCAGTTTTAAGTCACTGTCCAAGGACTGGTGCCAGTCCTTAGGAAAGATTGGAAACTGGAGATGAAGAGATAAAATGCCAAAACACATGCTTTACTTACGAGAACCCTGGGTTCAACCCCTAGCACTGCGTAACTTCCTGAGCACAAGCACTGCCAGGGGTGGCCCCAAGCACCACACCAGGAGCACTGAATATGGTCCAAACATCAAAACCAAGGATGGGAGAGATATGGAAGGGTTAAGATACCTTTCAAATAGCCAACCCCAGTTCACTTCTTAGCCCCACATGGCCTCTGTGCATTACATGGTGTAGGCCTGAGGCCCTTGAACCAGGAATGTTCCACCAGGAATGGCCCCAAAGGCCCCCTGAGAATGGCCAGGGTGGTCTAGGTATTCCTTGGAACAACAGGGCTGGAGGAACACCCTATCTTTGGGCCCTAACATTCTACTACCCTCCCCAACAACCAAGAATTGCCAGAAGGGGCCCCTGGACCTCCTAAGCATCACTTGAGAGATGTCAAATAAAAACAGAACTGAAAAAACAAAACTCAATAACCAAAAACATCACTTAGTAACTTTTATTATTAGAGTAGTGGCTGGGAAGATTGCCAGAAGTGGATAGATTTTACAAATACTCAGATGACAGAATTCATAGGCTCTGGCATATAATTGAGGAGGGAGTCTCTAGCTTTATAGTGAATGAAAATCTGGGGTAGATGTCTAATCACCACTTACTTCCTTGAGCATGTTGCTCAGGCTCTTTGAACCTCAGTTTTTTACCTGACAGTATCAACATGGGACCTCATAGGGGCACTCAGTAAATATGGAGCAAGCAAACATGTACATAATGCTTTCAGAGTAATGGGCACTAAGTATTATTCAATAAATGTTAGGGTACTTCCCCTATGGTATTTATTTATTCATATGCTTATCTGCACTGAGAGATCCTTGAGGACTAGCATCATATTCATCAACACTTTGTACCTAGCACAGTGGGTGATAAGAATAAGAGGTGGTCATTGTTAAGTTATGAAACTGATGGCAGGAAAAAGAATGCGGTAGTCTGCAGCTAGGAATAGCATGCCTGGATCTATTTGTAGCCTGTTTCCATGCTATTAACTCTCAATTGGTGCAAAGTATAAGAGCAGGAGGAAGATCATTAACATATGAACTGTAAATTCCTTGACACACAGAGACCATGTCTGATTTTGTGTGTGTGTGTTCCCAGTAAGAATGTTCTACCCAAGACACAGAAAGACTGCACTCATCTGGGGAACATAAAGTAACAGGAGTTGAACCCCCAAGAATAGTTGAGATAAGTACCAGAAGGTCTGCTCCACTGCTTGGAAGCCGGCATCACATGCTGGGGGAAAATGCAGCTCAGATAGAGAAGGGAACACCAAGTAAAGGATATTTAGAGGACTCGCTCAGGATGTGAGATGCGTGCTGAAAGTAAACTATAAACCGAACACGATGGCCACTCAGTATCTCTATTGCAAACTACAAGACCCTGAAGAAAAGAGAGAGCAAAAGGGAATGCCCTGCCACAGAAAGGGGGGAGGGCTACTAAGATCATTGGTGGTGGAGAATGGGCACTGGTCGAGGGATGGGTACTTGATCATTGTATAACTGAAACCCAAGCACGAAATTTTTTAAGTATACAATTGTACCTCATGGTGTTTCACTAATAAAAAAAAATAAAATAAAATAAAATATAGGGCTGGAGCAATAGCACAGAGAGTAGGGTGTTTGCTTTGCAAGCGGCCAACATGGCCAACCTGAGTTCGATTTCTCCGCCCCTCTCGGAGAGTCCGGCAATCTAAGTATCTCGCCCGCGGGGCAGAGCCTGGCAAGCTACCTGTGACGTATTTGATATGCCAAACACAGTAACAAGTATCACTATGTATATACATTACTGGACCCGCTTGATCAAATCAATGAACAATGGGAGGACAGTGACAGGACAGTGAAAATATATTATTAAAAAGAAAAAAAAATGTTTTGTCCATAATGGATGCACAGGAAAATGAGGTGACTAAACGAACTGGAATTTCTGTAGCCACTTGCAAAGGTGCGTCACAGGGCCCCACCCAGAACTCTGCTTACCTGTCTGCAACCGCAAGTGAGCTTCAATGTTCTGTAGCCGTTCTTCCACCGCCTGATTACCACAATCACGGAGCAGGCTGTTAGGTTTGTGACCTGGCCCTTGAGTTCCCTCAGGTCTAGTCTGGGGTCCATATGTATTCACAACTCTAGAAACTAAGTCAAGAGACTTTTGAGGCTGCATACACTTAACATTTTAAAACTCAGAAAATCCTTTCTCCTTTTAACACTTTATATTCTTTTTATAAAACCATCTAATCAACAGCCAACATATAAAGGCCAGATTCTGTTATAAGTAAAATTTAAACACAGGAATTACTTTTGTTCCACTTTGCTTATAACCTAGAATAAGTTTCTGTGGGCGATGAAGATATGTTGCAAATTCTTACCTTTCACATGACTTTTAAATCCAGGGTAAGGGGTAAAAACAGCATCAGTCCTTGCACAGCTATTTTCTAAGGAGAATGTAGAGTATAAAGTTTAAAGATAGTTTTCATTTCAAATGCTGACATTTTGATAAACTTCTAAATCATATTAGTATACTACTCATGGTAAGAAAACAACAATTTCAAAAATAAATTACTATTACATACATGATAAAATTTAGTGACTTTTCCCCTCTAAAATTTATAATATATGATTTCTAGAACAAGATATAGAAACACGATATAGCAACTACAGTGATATCACTTAATATACTTTTTAAATAAAAACCTGTATTACTACAAACCACTTGTGCAGTTTTGGAGAAAATAATGTTTATACTCTATATAGTGTTTTAATTCTAAGCCAAAAATATATCAATTCACTACATCATAGGAATCTAAAAAAAACAGTACTTTCACTGAAATATCTTTTTTAAAATTTATAGCACTTTTGATGTTACATACAAATCAAATTAGTGAACATCTAATAAAAAGGATTACACATTAACACATTTTTTATTTCATAACTCCACACAAAAACGATCTTGAACCTCAAGTGTAATACATTCCTCTTCACCTTCCCTAGATTGCCAATGCTCACTTAAAAAATCTAATCACAAAAGGCATTTACCTCTTTACACTCTGCCTCTTTCAAAAAATGAAATTTTTAGAAAGATAAATTGTGAAAATTGGCTCTTTTCCCCCAATAAGTTGAAGCATACAATTTGTTTTCAATGAGATTATCCACAAATAAGTTATAAACCAAAGGGGGATTAGAAAGATGTTAATACAATGTATAAATATGTCAAATATGATAAAATATTTAAACAAAATCATGTATTATGCTACATTTTATAAAAAAACACTTCTCTTGATTATTTTATAATTAAAAAATGGATCGTGGTAAAAGACACCTTTACCATGGTAAAGAACAACTGAAAGAACACTGTTAAAAAAAATCATAAGTTTAATGGAAAGTACCAACATTACAAAACATTAGTATTGCTTCAGCCTAAGTATTTTTAATAGTTCTACTGTAAATAAAATTGCATATTTAACTTATTCATATATATCCACATGTTTATCTATTATGTATATATACACTAACAGTCCTTTGTTTTCCTTGGAGGCAATTCAAGGTATGTTAAAGGGCCATCACTTCTTCAATCTCTTTTTAACATTTCATAGAGCAAAGAGTTAAAAAAAAAAAACCACCATTCCAGAGCTATATTCCAAATACATAGATTAGCTGTCCCATCAGTGAGAAATTCAGCTTGGTGTAGATAGTGAATGTATGAGTGTTAGTCACTCTCCACAGCAATTCTTGCGAGTACTGTTTTGAGCCAGCAAGGGATTGAATGGGCCAAGGAATCCTGCTGAGCATTTCAATTCTTGTCAATTTCTATCCCCTGGTGGTTTATAATAATAGAGTTAGCAGGGAGAACAGAGGAATAACATTAGTGACACATGTGCTTCTCCCTCAACACACCCTTTCTCATGGGTTGCTTGCAGTTTGATCATAGTACCTGAGATTTCGCCACTGTTGCACCTGTTCTGAAAGGCCAACAGGAAAATATAGCAAATCTAGAGTTAGCCGTGTCTAATATTAAAAGCTGAAAAGATGGAATTTTGAAGAAGATAGACAAATTGAACTTGTTTTATTTTACTATAAAAAGAATCAGTGTCAACAGAGTCAATTCTAGATTCTTCTGACACTTGTGTTCATAATGATTAGCTCAGAGATTGTAGAGGCAGTAAGAAAAATGTTCACTTCAATTATGAACTCATCTCCACAAATTTTCATAAGAAATACCTAAGTTATTACTATAATGCCTGAATACGAGTTCTAACAATGCTTTGCATTATTTGTATTGTGCAGTGTAACTGCAGATCTATCTATAGTATCATATGGAGAGGGAAAGGAGAATCTGGTTTTAAAAATAGCAACGATATTCATGATGAGAGAAAGAAAGTAAACATAAGACATCAAAGTCTTCATGAAGAACATGACACATTGGTCATATAATAAAACATTTCAAACAGCTCTGGAACAGTCAGAAAACTGCTCCCTCTTGAGGAGCATTAACTTTAGTAAGTTCACTTAAAGGCATTAACATCATAATTTCTTAAGTACATTTACAAACTAGAAATTTATATAGCTGAGTTCCTTCTTACTGGAGAGACAGAGCAACCCAGCCACTCTCACATCACCTTCCTTACTTAAAGGAACTCTAAATCAGTCTTCTTCCTGGGGTAAACAAGCGTTTTTTAATATTAGCATTTAATTGATTTTTATGTGACCAAAATGAAAACCATTTCTGCAATAGTCTGTACTAAACAGAAGTTCTCTTTCCTTAGTTTATAAACTCGTGAAATAGTGTACTTCATATTATAGATTTTAATAAAAACAAAAACTGTGCTTAAAATCCTACGATTATAATAAACTTCCAGGTAGTTACCTTGGTTACAATCAATAACATTGCAAAATTCCCTGACGTTATTTTCATTGATTTCAGCTTGTTTTCTTTCAATAAATGCAGATATTCGTCTGTCAATCTATAAACAATAAGTATGCAAGTTTTAACAATTTAAACACAGTAAGATTTAGAAATATTTAGAAATATACTTGCCATTACCCCCCCCAAAAAAAAACATCCCAAAACATAACTTCTTACTTCTGCTTTTCCAGCCTTTATTTGGACTACTTCTGGATCAAAATGAATCTGCATTTTTTTCACATCTCCTAAATCACAATCTTTGTGCTTTTCTTCCTCTTGGAGGCCATCAACGGGAAATCTGGCATTGACTTCATCCTTGTTCCCTGTTTCTGCTTTTCCTTTCTCTTCAACAACAGTTATATCCTCCTCTTTAATCAGAGGCTGAAGTTTTGCTAAAAAGGGCTAAGAAGAACACAACTCCACTTACGGAGGTTAAAACTATCAAAATTTTACATTTAATAAATTACATAAATTTCTCCTACGTAAATGTAATTTTAAGATTTTTTTTTGTAAATGTAATTCTTAAAGTACTAAATTTGAAAAGCTGGCCTATTTGGATACATAGATCCAACCACATGTGTTTACTGTTTTCTGCTACTATGATTATTGTTATCATTAGCTATAAATCTGGTTTATGTGGGTTTTTTTTTTAATAAAGAATATATGAGGAAATGTAAAGTTTTCCTTGAGGGAATCACTCTGTCACTCATCTTTTATTTTGTACCAAATCAAAGCCTCAGCCTCTGGCACCAATACCACTTAATTAACATGTCATTCAAAATGCCTCCTCAGAACACTAAGGCTTAGTACTTTTCCTCCTTAACAGGAGAGCCACTGCTCTCACTCAGCAAAAGCCTACATTATCACTGTATCACTGGAGATCTTCCACTTGAAACTGCAGTTGGCCAAAGAGAATGAGAGCACATAGAGATGGTATCTATAGGTGTTATGGTGAGTGAACACTTCGGTTCTTCCTGATATAGAAAGGTATCTTCTTGGGTCATGAAATTAAAGTTTTAAGGAGAAAATGACCAAGGCAAAAATAAAACCCATGATCCAGAAATGAAAAGAGACAGATGCCTGCAACTATATTAAGAGAGGAAAGAAACCTGTTGTACAATGTAAATTACACTATCCCTCCACCCGACAATTAGACCTCAATTGAGTTCTTTGGCTCACTGCTTCTGCCCTTTAAAACTAGGGTTAACTATTACTTTTAAAATGAAGCAGATTTTAAATTTCCCAGTCACTAACAGAGGGCTGAAAATTAATCTCTACTCCATTAATCAAAACACACCAACACCTGTCATGTTCTAATTTTTTTTAAGCCCACAATTTGGCTTCTCTTATTTTCTAAGTTAAATATTTTTAACCTTGTAAAATATCAATAGCAATAAACTGACCAAATAGTTCTTTCACTTACCTTTAGAACATTTAATTTATACTCTGATTTGAGATAAAACTTACATCAATCACAACTGTAGAAACGTTCAATCAGAAACCAACAAGGTCATAATTCTGTTCAGTCATTAGATGGAAATACTTTTAAAATATACCAATATTATTATAAATAATAACTCTATTTAGACTTCCCAAAGAAAGAATGAATTATTTTAAATTGTTAAGAAAAAGAAAAGATAAAATAGTGACTGGCTACTTACTAAGATGAGACATTAATGTTACAGAAATTACTTTCTTTTTAAAACTATGCTGAAACTGTTTAATTGCAATAGACACTCCAGGATGTGTCATGCTGGGATAATGCCACTTCTTGAACCACTGAAAGCACTCCATGAGCCTCCAAACTCACCCAAGGCATGGAATCATTATCATAGCATGACACACACCTGCCGTGTCTTATTGCTTAATTATAACCCACCAAAGATGGAACAGTATTGAATTTTCAGTGCAAGTCTGGAGTTGAATAGAACTGCATCCATTCACTCTTCACACTCACATTGGCCTTCAGATCACTACGTAAATGAACAGATTTGGATCCAATCTGGATGAAACAGGCTTTATTAATAATACTATTGACATAGTGCTAAGATAGAACTGGCAAAGACTGCAACTTACCATTTTGCTACAACTAATTTGCATTCTATCAAATTAACACTTTTAACAAGAAATTTACCTGTAAATACAAAACGTGTTGTTCAAGTGCACTAAAGAGCAAAGCAGGCTGCAATGCCGAGAGACTCTGGAGCTTGTTCCAATCGATTGTAATTTTCACCACATCATCTCTGAGGTTAAGCTTCAAAAGGACAAACGAGCAGCATCACAAAAATTACACAATTAAGCACTACATATGGTACTGTTACAAAAATTTCTACAGCTGCCCATTTAGACCAAATTTACCATGTTTTTAATGATATATTAAAATGCTAAGCCTAGTTACATTTTAAAGGGCCAAGAAAGGTGCAATTTTCATTACAAAACATGACATTTTATTCTAATTTGACGCCTAGATCTGTAGATGGTTGACCTACAAGTAAACTGTTCAAGAACAACAAAAATATAAAGCTTCTCTAAGACAGTATATAAAAAAATAGAAAGAAACCTTTGGATTGCAGCCAACTGAGGTCTTTCTCAGAATCCTACTCTGAGAGTTACAAACAAATCAAAGTTCTGATACATACAATTCTTCTTGCTAAACAAGTACAATGACAATATTTCTCATTCATACCTTATGTCTTTTGAATCATTTTTATTTTCAATTTCAGTCAAATTTTATCATTTAAAATCAAGATTACTCATACATTTTATAAACTCTATTTCAATAGCAAGATGTTTATCTACGTCAAATAAAAATTGAGCTACTGCTTAACTGAAAAACACAAACTTCTCTACAATAGTGAGGTAACGGCCAAACTGTCAGATTCTCTTCTAAGCAGTATTTTCTAGTAAAATGTGAGGGTTCATTTTATGAAAGTTGGCTATGTGTGGCTAACTGATCATTAGAATAAATTATATAAAATTACCTGGATATAAAATTACTATAAAAATTAGTTTAAAAAAAAGTAGTGTGAAAACTTCTACTTTTCGCCTTTCAAACTGAGTAAGAAGTGAGCCACCATAAACTTTTTCATGAACACATCTTTATGATAAACTGTAAGGCTATATATATTGCATAATAAACTCAAATTAACATTACCTTTTCAGAAATCATAAAATATAAGTGATGCCTCCTATAAAATAAACTGCTACAATTAATTCAAATAGATCATATGAGTAGTGATAAGAAAACAAAAAGATTATCACTACACAAAGAACCAAAGAGAAGAAGTACCCAAAAAAGGCACTCCACTGAGTGAATAGTCTAAGACAGAAAATATTCACTTCATTGAAAATTAGCCAAGAGAATTTAAAGTCTGTATTAGACAAGTATAAAGAAAAATTGGATGATCTGTGAAGGCGCATAGATTAATTTATATTAATTTAATTAAGAGTTTACATTAAGAGTGACACAGTAATCTAAATTTATATATAATTACAAATATTTTATTAGACAAGTAAACTAACATTATACTTTTACATGGCTTAAAAAGATAGCCAACTATACCAAATTTATAAATAACTGGTTGGAATACAAGCAAATCCAACACTTTTTTCTAAAGAAAAAAATAACAGTCTGTATTTGTAAACCAGTCACTCAGTAATATATTAGTCATCTGGAGCTATTTAAATATGTATTTCCAGTCTAAAAATTTATTAAATTAACATAAAAATTCTACAATAAATAGCAAAAAATACTTCTTTAATCTGGTAAAACTGGCTGCCTAGATGCAAGCAGTAAGATTAAGATCAATAAATTTGAAATCTGACCTAAATATATGTATTAGCATTCCAATTTTATGGTTCCCATTGAGGAGTGCTAATAATACAATTATACAAAATGCATCTAAGGATGTTACAACATACTCTTGAAAATACTCTTGAAAATATATTCTTTAAAATTGTCTCATTAAAAAATAGTGACTTCCTCTATAAAGAAAATTTCTTATGTGCAGTATAGGTGTGTAAAAAGAATTCTGATCTTGAAACATCTTAAAATATAAAGCTTATATATCAAAGCTTATATCGAAATGGTTATCATTTAGTTGAGAAAACACACTTTCTGACACTTGTGTAGAGTCTCTTCACTGTTACATAAACTCGCCATTTACGCTAAACATTTACAAAAATAACATAAGAAAGTTTTAATCACATTTCTCCTTCTGTCAACAGACTAAATGTTTAACTTTTTAATGAATCTTTAAATGTCCTTTGCAAATATTTCAAAAGACGTTTAAACCATTTCCTATTGCTGCTTAAAAATGTCATCACTTAAAAAACAAAACAAAAAAACTGTACATTATAAGGAAGCTATAAACTTTTTTGGTTTTGTTTTGGTATAAGAACAAACCTAAGAACAAACTGCCCATGCCATAAAAAGTTACAAACTTTCAAAAGTATTAAACCATTTACAAATCTTCTAAAGACTTAAATATTAATAACAAGCGAAAGACCTTGTCTTTAAAACAACTTAAGTAAATCTCTGGCAAACAAGTGAATTTACAAGTTTATTCTGTTGCAAATTCAATTAATAATTCCATTACACCAGAGTAATGCTACTTGTTCAGTCTCTAGGCACACATTAAGATTTCAAAATAAAACAACCTTTTAAAAAGAACTGGTGCTCATCCGCCCAAGGCTTCTAAAACTAATTTTCACAAACAAACGGTCCATTCCAGAAAGGAACCTGACACTAATTTCCACACCAATGCTTGCAGCTCCTACCGCACGCACTTGCTCCAGTCATGTAATAAACTTTTATGCCTTGAAGATATTCCGGCTCAGATATACAAAGAAAACATTTTTCTTTTTTTTTTCTTTTAAAGCAGACAGGTCTCCTTTCAAGTTCTCATTTAAAATGTGCTTTGCATTTTACATCAGGAAACAAAAGAGTGACTTGATTGGCATAGAATAAGCAGCACTTTTATTTAAACCCAATTTTATGATGACACTTCTGCAAAAGCCATTTAATCAGCCAGTTAAACTCGTTAATAGTCAAACAACGGTTCTGAAGCAGTCTCAACGATGCATAACTCATCCAAGTTGATGTAGAAATATTTTAGACTATTCTGTTTCCTCCCCGATTGAAAGGGGAAGAGAGGCACAACTTTCAGTAGAGGGATAGAAAGGAAATAAACACAATCAAGGGACTCAAAAGAACCTAAGTGCAAATAACCCCACCCCGACCCCGACTTCAAGAACGGAGGAGAGATGCTTTTTTTTTTCTTTCCAGAAATCTTAGGTCGTACTAACCTATCAAAAGTTAGAGGAATGAACTGGAGGGGAAAGGGTCTCGAAGCGCCCGGCAGGAGCCTCCCAAACGCTCAGAGAAGCCTTTCGCGTTCACTTTCTCCAAGCCCGTTCCTCTCTCGCAACCGGCAGTTCACTTACACTCTCCCCCACTTGCTGCAGCGGGAGAACAGTGCCAAAGAAATCGAGTCCGCTCGCGGGTTTGATACAGGATGCCCGTGCGGCCCATTCGCGCTCTCGGGCACTGACTCCCAGGACTCACCCCCGTCCACCCCGCCCCCCCGCCCCCGCTCCAGGAACCGAGGGGGAGGGGCGGAGAAGCCCCAGGCCCCGACTCACTTGTCCCGCCAAGGTCTGCCAGGAACGAAAGACTTCACAGAGCACCTCTTGGGAGGGGCTAGGGCTGCCGCTCATTTCCAGGCTCCTGTCACCGATGCCCGGGCGACTAAGCTCGGTGGCTGCAGCCATGATACCTTCGCAGGCCGCCCCCGCCACCACCGAGGCGCCTTCGCAAACCCACCCCTTTCCACTCCGGCTTTCGTCGCTCGGCGATGACGTCAAACAGCCGCGTCTCGTTTAGAAGGGGGGGGTGGAGGCTGGAGGCCCCACCCCCTCAATGTGACTGACAGTTGCGTGCGCCAGTCAAGGGCTACAGTAGCGTTTTCCCTGAGAACTGGCCGTGAAGAGTTGCTGACCAGCGCCAAGGCTGAGTGTTGTAGTGGGAATGGTGGTCATTGGAGGTTGGCTCAGGGTTAGACTCCTGAAGTCTGTCTTTCATGCTTGGATGTCATACGAGTGTTGGTAAGAGAAGATCTGTAATTGTTACAGTTTTTGTCTTGAACTTAATGTTGAAAGGGTAACACTGTGGTGTGCCATGGTCTGCAAAAAAGACCGCTCATCAAGGATGCCCACACAACGTGTTGCAAACACTGAGAAACTGTATTACCGAACTGTGATAATTAGAACATATTCATCTTAACAAGATTATTTAAAACTAACACAAAATTAATGAACTAATTTTCCCACGAGGGAGAGACGATAAAAGAGCAATGTTTTTCTTTATGTCTCATTTCACTATCAAAGAAATGGCATTTAGTTTAGATTTGCAAAAAATCATGGTGTCAAGTTTTTAAAGACTCATTGGTTAATAGTGAATCTGCTGGGTGAATCTGCCCAGTCTTCAACAATTTGAAAGAAGTGAATCACTTCAATGAAGCCTCTATTCAATGATAAGATTTGAACCCAAGTATGTACACACAACACAACCTTTGAAATTAGAAAGAAGATAAGTCCTAATTGACAGTATATACTACTATATTTTATAGAAACATAAATGAAAATAATTTTTATTGTGTAGCATTTTTAAAGATATTTGTAGCACTTTGTAATCTTATAGTCATGCTCTATCATTAAAATTTTGTTTTCCAGTTGAAAAAAGCCTTTGGGGATATATACTATTAAACTATATTATAAATTCCACTTTAAAAATCATTGGTTTAGAGATAAGGGGCCAGGACTTAAAACTCTTAATTCTAATAGTCTAATGAGTTGACTGTAAAGGAAATAACAGCCGAAAGTAGTGTAATATATAATTCAGTGGAGATAAAATAACATCTTAGACCTGTCCTTGGAAGTCTTTTAATTGGATTTATATTTCCAATGATGCGTGGGTTCACAAGTTTGCAAAGATTTTGAGATATCTTGTATGTTTTCTCCTTAATCACAATTTGTATCATTTAGTCTGACTCTTGTCCAGAGACATCCAGAAAGATATTTTGAAATCCCAAATTGAGCAACCTTCTCTTGTAAGCCACTATTCCCTATATTCATAATGCTTTGCAATGTCTGATAATTCCTTGCCTCTGACTCCCTTATTGGTAGATAATCATTATAATGAGCTAAAACTTTTTATTTTATTGTAAATCAACTTTCCATTTCATACTATTTGTTTTCATATATATGTAAAGAATTTTTTTTAGGTATACGGGATACTGACTTGAAACCTTTGAGAGCATGCTTTCTACATATAAATAATACCTTTTCTTGAGGGTAGGGGGGTCACACCTGGCTGTGTCTAGGACTTATTTCTGGTTCTGTGCTTAAGAATTACTCCTGGCAGACTTGAATACTATTTTTATTGAGATGCTGCTCTTTTCCATTACTGAAGTTGAAATTTCAAATTTTGTTTTCTTGAGCAACTGTAGAACTAATAAATGGTTATTTCTACATAAATTCTTAATATAATGTAATATTTTCATATGCAGAAGTTTCACTTATGTCTTAGTGTTTCTTATCAACATACCACTTGGATTTTAACTCTTTTGTGCATTATTTCTTTTTAGTGATATTTTTACTTCTCTCTCATATGAGTAAGAAAGATTTTTGGAAATTTTCTTAATATTTTATGTTAACTTTAAATAGAAGTGTTATATTTCTAGCAAAGATGAGGATTTCCTCAGGCTAACTTTAAAAGGCAATATATATATAGTAATGAATTACAAAAATGTAAAAGCTGTGAAATTTAGAAAAGAAACATTTTCCGTTTATAGAAGAATACAGTTTATAAAGTCAGCTGCTGAAAACTGCTGCATCACAGAAATGCTTCAGTGTTGATCTTGACATAAGCCAAGTTATAAATATTGCCCTATAAGCTTGCAAATAATCAATTGGGAGAATAGAAATCATAAATAAGATCTAGGTTATCAACATTTTAAAAGTTCCCTTTGTGATGAGCCTTAATGCTACAGTGAGTCTGTTATATAACTCAGTACAAAGGAAAATACCTGAGATATTCTATGTGCTTAACAGATGTTTGTTCAGTGTAAGATAATACAAATTTTTCCTAATGTAGAAAGTGAAAAATAAGTGATATTTACCTTCTCTAGTTCCCTCCATCACCTGATGGATAATATTTAACCACCCACAGAATATACTCATGGGTATTTAACTGTGAATTATTAAAAAATAATGAAACACATCAATCACAGATCCTAGAAGCTCAGAAAACTCTGAATGAATCCAAATCCCTTAGAATGGCCTTTGAGACTCTTCTCATGATCTGGCCTTTGCCTGAATGTCCAGCACCATCTTCTTGCACAAAATACCTGGTGCTTATCACTCCTGAAACTCTTTTTAAATCTTCAAAGCTTGGAGTTAGAGAGACAGTTCAGGGAGTAGGCCAGTAAGGTAAGTGGTACACAACTAGCCCAGGTTCAATCCCTGGCATTACTTAAGTTTCCTGAGTACTGCCAAGAGTAATCCCTGAGTACAGAGCCAGGAATAAGCCCTGAGAGCAGCTAAGTATAACCTAAGAAACAAAATAATTTTGAATAAATCTTCAAAGCTTCACTATTTTTTCCTCCATATTTTTATTTATGCCTCTGCCTCTTATGTATTTGAAAACTTCCTATTCATCCTTTAAACTTATTCAGAAATCTCTGAGACTTTCTTTGTACTGTTTTGCACTCTGCTAGAGTGAGAAGCTCTTTCAGCTCATATAAACTTCTATCATTCTTATCACATAATATTAACATTTGATTATAAATCTACATATCCATTGAACTTTGACACTTGCGTATTATATTCATGTACTTAAGACTTGGTCTAGGTTGTGGCAGTGGGTAGTTACCAGGAATATGCTTATTGTACTAAATTTATTTGTCTATCCAATGTGAACATGGATAATCACTTCCTTGTAGAATGGTGAGGTCCTGGTAGTGAATCCATAATACAACTCATGGAGGATCCTGATGTATTGAGTTTGAACGCCTTGTTTGGCTAGCGCTTCGATGACCGCTTCAATCTCAAAAGAATCAAAGGCCTTCTTTAAATTAATGAACATTAGACAAAGCAGCATCTTGAACTCCTGAGAAACCTCAATGAGCTTGTTTACCGTGTGGATATGGTTGATTGTGCTGAATCCTTTTCAGAACCCGGCTTGCTCGCATGGTTGTCCTTCGTCTAGTGTTCTGCTAATCCTATTCAGGATGACTCGAGTGAACAGCTTATAGATGACAGACAACGGGCAGATCGGGCAATAATTGCCAATGTCATGAATCTCTCCCTTCTTGTACAGTAGAACAGTCCTGCTGGTTTTCCACTGGGATGGAACCTTGCATTCAGACAGGTAGCATGTGAAGAGCCAAGCCAGTGTAATGATGAAAACTGATGGCAGGTTCTTCAGGTGTTCGAGTCTGATCTTGTCTGGGCTGGGTGCTGTTCGCTTCTTTATCGACAAAATGGTGTGTCACATTTTGGAAGGGAGAACGTTGGGAACGACATATCCATCCTGTGGAATTTGGTATGTGGGCAGGTGGATGTGGCTATCGAAGAGATCCGAGTAGAAGTCATGGATAATCTTCTCCATTGCCCTTCGGAAGATGTGATAGATCCACCAGGATGTCAGCGGGAAGTCATCTTGTTATTGTAGTTGGTGAAGTACAGGCGGGTGTTGCGAATGCTTTTCCTGGTTTCTGCTACATCTGCCACCACTGCTGTTCTTTCTTTTTGAGGTCTTCCTTTATCTCTTCTCTGCACTACTTTCCGAGCTCAGACGTTTGCTTGCGGTTGCCTGAGGCTTACAGCAAGCCACTTTGGCGAATGAGCCCAAGAGTTTTTGAAGACAGGCATCTTTTTGTGGCTCTCTCTCTCTCTTGGCATTCCTCGCACAATCATGGAGGTGATGAACCAGTCGATCGTATTCTTCGTCAATGTTGTCAACGACAGCATCTTCCCATGTTGCCACAATAGTGCCAAAGAGCTCCCAGTTGGTGGTCGCTCTGGGAGTTCTCTTCTTAAATGTTGCAGCCCTTTCTCCCCGTTCCTTGAGAACATCATGTGACGACTGGAATGGGAAGGAATGGGCATGAAGATAGATGGTCAGCAACTACACCACCTTCGCTTTGCTGATGACACCTTTCTAATAACACCAAACATTAGCCAAGCAGCACAAATGCTGGCCGACTTCGACCGTGAGTGTGGAAAGGTTGGACTACAGCTGAATCACACAAAGCAATGCTTATGAGATACGGACTCATTCCTGACATTCCATTCACTCTCAACAGAATGAACATCTCTGAATGCAACAGTTATGTGTACCTAGGTCAAGAAGTCAACATGACAAATGACCTGGCACCTGAGTTGCGCAGGAGGAAGAGAGCAGCTTGGAATGCCTTCAAGAGCATCAAAGAAATAGCTAAGAGGACAAAGAACCTCCGGCTCCAGGCATATTTCTTAGATTCCACCATTCTTCCTGCATTAACATATGCCTCAGAGACCTGGTCCCTACGAAAACAGGATGGGAACACTATTCGGTTCTCCCAAAGAGGAATCAAAAGAGCTATGCTTGGAGTATCATACTTCATTCAAATGAGAGAAAGAATTCGGAGCTGACCTCCATTGACGGTTGAGAATCAGAGATGCTATCTCATTTGCCAAGGCATCTAAAATCAGATGGGCTGGACACGTAATGCGACTTGTAGATGACCGCTGGACTACAGCCATTACCAACTGGATTCCACAGGACGTC